TCGTCTCCTGACGGCTTCCTAACATGAGAGTGGAAACATCTTTCTTAACTCGCAGAAGTCAAAACTAACCAGGAACACATGCAGCAAAGCAAATCCACAAGCGCAGCAAAGCAACAAACGGTAGAGATCGACCGTGAATAACATTCAGCAACGGTTGCCAGCTGGAAGGGTTAAGCGGAAACATTGCCCTGCACCATATGTGGGCTGATGAAGGAATACTCCTATTTACGAAAGCTCGTCTGTACCTTGTCATGATGAATGGTTGGGTTGGTCAATGGTCAGTCAGATACGAATCACGTTCAAAGTTGGAAGATCGTTTGCTTTAGCTTCATTCGGGTAACTAGTCTTAATCCTTCAGATGTAGAATTGAGTGCCATTTCGTGAGCAGGAAATAGGTAAATATCCGCTACAGGGGTCATCTGGCTGTACGTACACCCGTAAAACAACAAGGCACTCAACTGACGATACGAACAAATTTGTGCTTCATCATAAGCTACATAAGCATTCATCAGGAAGGGGTTAAACATGATATGTCATCGAAAAGTCTAAGGGAGACTAGCATCTGAACGGTTACCAAGTTGCACTTTTCGATGCGGTCCAAATTGAAACCATATTTTAAAGAAAAAGGAAAAACGGCAGTTGAACACGTTACAAATGCGATAATTTCGACGTTCAGTGATGATTAAAAATGACATGGCCATGCACGTAACGACTTTTCTTGTTCGAAAGTATTTTCAATAGGTGTAGAAATCAAAAAAAGTTGATTCTAATCAACAAATAGGAAATGCACATAAAATAGGACATACAATGCCGCCACCCCACCAATGAGTTGAAGTAGATATGCGTTCTTAGAGAAAGTTTTATGCTTACAATGGAATAACCGGTACATTACGGTATGCACGTTAAAAAGCTGGAGAATTGAGAATACAGCAGGAATTAAACCGAAAATCTGACTTTCCATCATTTTCAAGGTGATGATAACAACAAACAGTAACATAGCATCTTTACTTATCTGAATGTCACAAGGGGGTTACGGCACATTCATGCTTCTTGTCAACATTTGTCATTGTATTTTGTCCTGGGCATTACCAGATATAATTGCCAGTCAATCATTGTGCCATGTTTGACTCGGTTTGCCCGTAGCTGCGGTCTATCTGCGCAGCCGACAGTTCATCTATGCTATGCAGCCATAAAGTTGCCGGACTGCTTCGCGGCCTTTTCCAGGAGGGGTTAGGCACTCAACGAATCAAGATGTTGTTCAACCGCCTGTCGTCCCGTCGCAGTGGACAAGAAGCGAGGAGTTTTAACTTTTTATACTCGTCAGAAAGAGCTGATATTATTCCCTGCTCGGCATACTCCATCTGTACTTGTTCTAACGTCCTCCTCCAGCAAGTGCGCATTCGTGAACCTATCAGTCAATCTATAAACGAGTATTCTGCACCAACGTCGTTCAGATACGTCCAGCGGATTCGTTTCTTTCTTGGTAAGGGTCCGGTTACTGCGGCATACATCAGTACTGGTCGAATTGCTGTCAGATATACACGTACTTTCACAGGCATACTGACGACAGTTTTCCACAGATTTTGCTGCAGCATATTATATGCAATTCGAGCCTTTCTGATTCTTTCCTGGGTATCAGCTTTAC